TGCGGCTCATGGCGACCATGGAGCACCCGCACATTGTGCAGTTCGTCGGCGTGGCGTGGGAGTCGCTGAGCGACCTGTTCTGCGTGACCGAGTTCATGGCCGGCGGCGACCTGCGCTCGCTGCTGAGGGAGTACCTCGCTGCGGGCGTCCGCCAGGGGATGGATGCCAGCAAGGTGCGCATCGCCTACCAAGTGGCGTACGCGCTGACGTACTTGCACTCGCTGGAGCCCGTGGTGCTGCACCGCGACCTCAAGTCACGCAACATCTTGCTGACGGAGGCACTGGACGCCAAGATCACGGACTTCGGGGCCTCGCGCATCCGCTCTGACGCGACCATGACCGCCGGCGTGGGCAGCTCGCTGTGGATGGCGCCCGAGGTCATGCTCGGCAAACGCTACGGGGAGAAGGCGGACGTGTTCTCGCTGGGTGTGGTGATCTCGGAGCTGGACACGCACGAGCTGCCGTACTCGCACGCGAAGGAGGAGGGCGGCAGTGGCACCGGCGGCGGCGGCGGCGGGCGGCCGCTCCCGGACACGGCGGTGCTGCAGATGGTGTCGCTGGGCAAGCTGCGCGTACGCTTCTCGGCGTTCATGGACCCGGACATGGCTCGCTTCGTGGGCAGCTGCGTGAGCATGGAGCCCAGCGAGCGCCCCACGGCGGCCGAGGCGCTGTACTACCTGCAGGTGGCGGCCCGCAACGCACAGTACTGATCGGCCGAGCTGAACCAAGGTAGAGCAATTGATTTCCAAGTTGAAGTTGTCGGAACAACTCGTATAATTTTCACGCACTAACGAACTGAGCAAGCCAGCCTTGTAGCTTGAGGTGGTCGTGCATGGTGACCACAGTCGTGATGCCATGGGTGTGTTCTTCCCGACCGGCAGCAGGTTAGGAAAGCGGTCGTTGCTTCAGGTTACAACCGGTAACTGTCGGGAATTTCGCCAATGCACGTCTCTGTTGTCCATCTGTTGGCGCGGCATGGCTCGATGATTCGCTAGGCCTTCTGCGACGCTACGCTTGCAGCAGGCATCCCTGCCCTGTGTATTCCGACTCCCCCCCCAGTTATCAGCGCAGCCCTCCACCGCGTGCACTCATGCTGGCCGCCGTGGTGGTGTCCTGCGTGCTGCCGCTGCTGGCGGCGGCGCAGAACGACGAGGTCTCGTACTCGGTGAGTCTCAGCACGGGCACGCTCATCGCGATCGTCGCTGGCTGCGTCGCGGTGCTCTTGGTGTTCACCTGCTGCTGCTGCTGCATGCGGAAGCGCCGAAAGGCCAAGCGCCAGCGAGAGCTGCAGGCCGCGGTGGCCGCCGCTATAGTCAACACGCCCAAGGCCAACGACTCGCACGCCATTGACGTGCCCTACGAGCAGGAGCGGCAGCACAACACGGGCTCCACCTACACCGACTCCACCAGGCACCCGAACTGCAACGGCACCGGCGCCTCCATCTACGGAGGTGACCAGTACTCGTCCACAGGGCCGTCACACCGCAGTGGCGGAGGCAGACACTCGTCGAGTCTCTGGGACGACCCGGTGATCGTCGCTGCGCGGATCCCCGTCGACCGCGTCGAGCTCGGCGAGCTGCTCAGCCGCGGCGGGTTTGGCGAGGTCTACCGCGGTCGGTACCGCGACCAAAATGTCGCCGTCAAGACGCTGCTGCCATCGACCAGGAAGGACATGAACCACATCGAAGCGTTCTTGTCCGAGATCAAGCTCATGGCGACGATGGAGCACCCCCAGATTGTGCAGTTCATCGGTGTGGCCTGGGAGTCGCTCAGCGAGCTGTACGCCGTCTCGGAATTCATGGAGGGCGGCGATCTCCGCACGCTGCTGATAAAGTACTACGAGAACGACCACCCGAGGGGCTTCGACCCTGCCAAGATCAAGATGGCGCTGCAGGTGGCGCATGCACTGACCTACCTGCACTCTCTGGATCCCGTCGTGCTGCACCGCGACCTCAAATCACGCAACATTCTGCTGACGGATTCCTTAGACGCTAAGATCACGGACTTCGGAGCATCTCGAGAACGGTCGGACAAGACCATGACTGCTGGAGTTGGGACGAGCTTCTGGATGGCGCCCGAGGTCGTTTTGGGCGAGCAGTATGGCGCGAAGGCGGACGTGTTCTCGTTTGGCGTCGTGCTCTCAGAATTGGACACGCACGAACTGCCCTACTCGCACGCGAAGGAGAACAGCGAGACAGGCAGACCTCTGCCCGACGCGGCGGTGCTGCAGCTTGTGCTTATGGGCAGGCTACAAGTGCAGTTCTCCGACGTCGGCCCCACGGAGATGACGCAGCTGGCGCAACAGTGTCTGCAGATGGAACCCGAGGACCGCCCCACAGCTGCGGAGGTGCTGTACCGGTTGCACACGATCTCGAAGGCGTACCCGAGCAGCTACTCGCTTTAAGCTGTTCGCGCCGCCGTAGATTAAGCTTTACTGTAGTAAATTTACTTCAAGGACAATAGGTATTCGCCCCTTATCGCACGAAACATGCTTCAAGGACGCTGTTGCGAGTGAACTGAGAACCGGGCGCATGACGTCGCAGTGGCGGGAAGCGGAATGGAATGAGCGTTTATAAAAACAAAACACTTTGGGGCTTTCAACTAACAAAACTTCAGATTTCAAGGCTACGTAGTGGTGCTCTACAGGAAGAGCGCAGCCGTGGCAACGAGGGCCGAGCCCAGCAGGGCGGCCGAAGGGCCCACAGCCACGCCGGCGCTGGAGCCGCTCGAGGTGTCGTCCGCAGCGCTGGACGCGCTGGCCGCCGAATCCGCCGTACTCGAGGAGGAAGGCGCCTCCGTGGCGGGGGTCTGGGTCTCGATGTCGAGGCTGCCCGAGTCCGAGTCGCCCACAATCACGTCGTCGTCCGAGCTGGCCGAAGACGTCGTGTTGGCGGGGGCCGCAGTCACCTCGACGGCGCTGTCGAGCGAGGCCGAGGACGCGCTGCTGGTGGCGACGCTCTCGGAGCCGGCCGAAGCGGAAGTCGACGTGGCGGCGGCGGACGCAGCAGTGGACGTCGACGAAGCGCTCGTGCTGGCCGAAGCGGCCGTGGAGGAGCTCGAGGCGGAGCTGCTGCATTCCGTCATCACGGGCGTGATCAGGTCCGAGTAGAGCGCGAAGGTGCCGACGGTGCACTCCTCCGGGAACATGGTGGTGAGGTCCTTCAGCACGGTCTGGCACGCGGTGTTGCTGCACATGGTGGCCATCTCGGCCTTCGTCGGCGTCTTGAGCGAGGACGGAGAGTACCCGGAAGCGCTGGCGCACGGTGACCTCAGTTGACGTCAGCAGCGCCGTCACCGAGGCGGTGTCACAGGTGGCGGCGTTCGCGACGGTGGCGGCCATGGCGGCGGCGATCAGCGAGGACGCGAAGACCTTCATGCTTGGCGAGGGTGGCTGCGGGTATCTGTGGGCTGGCGGCAGATTGGAGAATGACTCACGTTCGAGGTACGGAACGCAGCGCCTCGCGTGGACGGGCAACCCGAGCCTCGGGCGAGCTCGCCAAGGTCGCTCTCCAGCGTGACGCACGCTCCACTCTACCGGGCGGTCGGGCATAGCCCCGGCGGGATCAACGATGGGAGCGGGCACTCACCGCAAAGCGTGGTAAGGTCCATGCTCGGGCGCTGCAGCTGGCACGGCTCGGGTTGAAGCGCTCCAGCATTCGTCGGCGCCGCTAGACAAACGAGCAAAACGCCCAGTGAGCTCTCCGTGCAGTTCTCAGTCTGCCATACAGGCCACGTATGACTACAATAGTGCGCGCAGCGACGGCGGCGTTGGGGAACAAGCATTGCGGTCGCTCGGCGGCAGCAGCACGGGAGGTAGAGTCAAGAGCAGAAGAGTTGCGCCCGCCGAGTCGGCCGACAAGAAGGTTGCACCGGGAGACCTCGGGGCGCAGAACTCCTTTGACTGGATGAAGTTGCACCACGTCGCGTCTGCCTCTCGATTACTTGATCTGAGTATGCTCATACTCAGATCAAGTTTAAAAACGTTACACTGGCGGCACCACCAACTTGTGCATGCACGAACCCCATGGGATCCGCAGCGGCCGCGTGCCATGGGGCTTGCCTGGCAGCTCCGTCCAGCGGCGGGTTTCCCGTGGAGACTCGCCGCTGCGACAACGCTTTGACTTTTTGCGATCATGGGAGCGTAGCAGGGAAGGCAAGGGCGCTTGATGTCTGCGAGAACTAACTTCAACTTGGAAATCAATTGCTCTACCTTGGTTCAGCTCGGCCGATCAGTACTGTGCGTTGCGGGCCGCCACCTGCAGGTAGTACAGCGCCTCGGCCGCCGTGGGGCGCTCGCTGGGCTCCATGCTCACGCAGCTGCCCACGAAGCGAGCCATGTCCGGGTCCATGAACGCCGAGAAGCGTACGCGCAGCTTGCCCAGCGACACCATCTGCAGCACCGCCGTGTCCGGGAGCGGCCGCCCGCCGCCGCCGCCGCCGGTGCCACTGCCGCCCTCCTCCTTCGCGTGCGAGTACGGCAGCTCGTGCGTGTCCAGCTCCGAGATCACCACACCCAGCGAGAACACGTCCGCCTTCTCCCCGTAGCGTTTGCCGAGCATGACCTCGGGCGCCATCCACAGCGAGCTGCCCACGCCGGCGGTCATGGTCGCGTCAGAGCGGATGCGCGAGGCCCCGAAGTCCGTGATCTTGGCGTCCAGTGCCTCCGTCAGCAAGATGTTGCGTGACTTGAGGTCGCGGTGCAGCACCACGGGCTCCAGCGAGTGCAAGTACGTCAGCGCGTACGCCACTTGGTAGGCGATGCGCACCTTGCTGGCATCCATCCCCTGGCGGACGCCCGCAGCGAGGTACTCCCTCAGCAGCGAGCGCAGGTCGCCGCCGGCCATGAACTCGGTCACGCAGAACAGGTCGCTCAGCGACTCCCACGCCACGCCGACGAACTGCACAATGTGCGGGTGCTCCATGGTCGCCATGAGCCGCACCTCGGACAGAAACGCCTGGATGTGCGCCAGGTCCTTGCGCTTCTCCGGCAACAGCGTCTTGATGGCCACGTCCTGCTCTCGGTAGCGGCCGCGGTACACCTCGCCGTAGGCGCCGCGGCTGATCACGGCACCCAGCTCGATGCGGTCGATGGGGATCCGCGACGCCAGAATGACGGGGTCCTCCCACAGCGTGCTGCGGTGCCGCCTGCCGTCCGGCATGGAGCTGCCCGACGAGCGCGAGTTGGCGGCCGTGGTCCGGGTGATCTCCTGGTACTCCGTCGTGTCGGCCGGCGACTGGCCCTGCTCCAGTAGCCGCACTTGCTTCCCCACCACGGGCGACTCGAGGAAGTCCTGCGAAGAAGCGTCGCTCGACCGGTGGTTATTGCGCCGCCGCTGCGCGATGAAGAACGCGAACACGACGAGCATGAAGACCACGGCCGCCACGATGATCCCGATGATCGCCCCGACGCCGACCGAGCTGCTCGACGACTTGGAGACGGTGCCGGCGTCCGACTGAGAGCTGCCTGACTGAGCAGCAGCGGTGTTGTTCTCAGCGCCGCCGCCACTGCTGCTGCTGCTGCTGCCCGAGCTGGCCGTCGTCGGGCTCAAGACGATCGTCTTCTCCGTGTCGCCGCTCCTTGTGATGATCACGTAGCTGTACGACGTGGTGCCGTCCCCCAGCGTCGTCTCCGTGACTTCCACCGTCACGAGCTCGTCGCCGCCGAGCATACTGGAGTCGACTCCAGGAGGCAGCGTGGACGAGTTGTAGTGCTCCACCACGGGCGCCGCCGTCGTCGCCGCGGGTGAAGACGTGGCTTCGGTCGTCGCAGTGGGGGCTGTGGTGGTCGTCGGCGTTGGAGCCGTAGTAGTTGAAGTCGTCGGGGTCGGAGCTGCGGTGGTGGGGGTTGGCGCTGTAGTCGCGGGCGCAGTTGTCGTGGGTGTCGGGCTTGTAGTGGCGGGCGCTGTCGTTGCCGGAGCTGTCGTTGCCGGGGCCGTAGTCGCTGGTGTTGTGGTGGTAGGCGTCGCAGTCGTCGCTACTGGAGTCGTCGTGCTGGAGCCTGTGCCAGTGTCCCCCGAGGAGGTGTCGCCTGAAAGCAGGCAAGAACGTTAAGACTGTTTCTTGCCCCGGTTGACGTTGAGTCGCGGACTTACCGGCATCCTGCGAGCTCGCCGCGGCGAGGAGAAGAGCAGCACACAGGCAGCAACAGGCCGCAGGCCGCCAAGCAGAGTTCATTGCAGAGTCGATACGTCCACTGCGAAGCTCACTGCGAAGTGGGGAACGGCGGAAAATCGCCCACTGAAAGAATCTCCCATTGAGTCCAGCTTCCGATCTGGATAAAGGGTACATTGGCGACTCGCCAGTCATCTATAACAGAGCTGAAGACGACCACCACTCGAGTACGAGCGCTCGAACAGCAAAGCGAGAAGCCCCACTCATAGTAATACTAACCGTCTTGCTCATTAGCGCACACGCATGCTGCTTTCGCCATTGCTACCAGTCCGCAACGCTACTAAAGAATCCCAGCTGCTTACCTACTGTCCCTGGCGCTGGCGCGGCGCGCACTTAATAATGTCGTCTACTCTGAGAATCATCTCGGCGGCCTCTGCGGCCGAGAACAGCACCTGCTTCTTGCTCTTGAGCGCCTCGCGAATGCCCAGCGCCTGCATGTCGCCCACGCACCCCGTGCGCATGTCCAGGCCGGCCGTCGTCTCGCCGCGGTGGTGTGCTGCGCGCAGCTGCGTCACCAGCTCCGAGCTGTCGTAGCCGCCGTTGTCGGCGATAATGCTAGGCAGCTGGCGGAGCGCGCGCGCGAAGGCCTCCATGGCCAGCGCCTTCTTGCCGGGCACGGACGGAGCCTTGTTGTCGATGGCCTGCGCCATCAGTACCTCCGTGCAGCCGCCGCCCATAACCGTCTGCGAGTGCTTCACCGTCTGCGTCAGCACAGCCAGCGCATCGTGCAGCGAGCGCTCGGCCTCGTCCAGCAAGTGCGAGCTGGCGCCGCGCAGCACGACGGAGCAGGCCGATCCGGTCTTGACGCCCGAAAACCGCAGCATGCGGTCCTCGCCGATGATGATCTCCTCGATCAGCTTGCACTCGCCCAGCTGCACGGCGTCCGGGTTGTCGAACGTGGACGCGATCTCGCCGCCCGTGACAGCGGCCAGGTGCTCAATGCCGTCGAAGTCGGCGTGCTCGATGGCCATGATTCCCTTCTCGGAGAAAATCTGCTCAGGGTAGTTGTAGATGAGCTGTCGGTTCACGAAGCAGTTGATGCCAAAGTTGGCGATCTTCTCGACCTTGGCCTTCATCTTAGCCTTCTCGGCATCCTCGATCGCCGAGACCTTGTCCATCGAGTCCACCTTGACGCGCGCGCCGTAGATCTTGATCTTGTCCGTGTCCATGCCCGTGTTGGCCACCAGGATCTTGGCGTTCTCGATGCGCTTGGGCTGGCCCACGCCGATCTTCTTGTCCAGGATGAAGCCCTCGTCCAGGTACGAGTCGCGCAGCGAGCCGCCGGCCTTCTTGATGATCTGGATGTAGTCCAGGTTGCTCGAGCCGCGCAGCCGCAGCACGGCGTCCACCGCCAGCTTGGCGAAGTGGTCCTTCTCGTACGTGAGCAGCTTGGAGCTGAGCGTCGTGCGCGCGATGTTCATCAGGTCCTCGCGGAACTTGTCGGCGTCCTGCGAGTTGTCCTTGGCCGAGCCCACGAGCGCCTCGTGGGCGCTCGTGAGCGCGATACGCCAGCCGTCGATGATGGTCTGCGGGTGGATGCGCTGGTCGATGAGCTTCTCGGCCTCGCGCAGCAGCTCGCCGCAGAGCACGGCGACGCTCGTGGTGCCGTCGCCCACCTCCTCGTCCTGCGTCTTGGCGATGTCCACGAGGACCTTGGCGGCCGCGTTGTCCACGTAGACGCTGCGCAGGATGGTGGCGCCGTCGTTCGTGACCGAGATGCTCTTGTCGGGGCCGCCCATGGACTGCAGGATCTTGTCCATGCCCTTGGGGCCCAGCGTCGTCTTGACCATGTCGGCGATGGCGATGGCGCCCACGAACGACGACATGCGGGCGTTCTCGCCCTTCTCCACCTGCGACTCCGGGTCCAGCACGGCCTGCTGCATCCTTGCTTTCCTTGCTTGCTCGCTCTGTACGCTGCACACGGAGGTCGAACGACGACTCGCTCGCTCGCTTTGTGTATGGAGCCGCGAAGATATTTGAGTGGCCCCCTCCAACAAAACCCCACAAGGGAATGCGTCAGTCCGTTCCAGAGGTCCTTCGTAAACGCATAGTTTATCAACATTCCCGCATGTTCATGCCGCTCACGCGCCCATGTAGGAAAGAGAGCCTCGGGAAGGCCTCAAAGTGCCTGGAGCACTCGACGAGAAACCCCTCTCGTCGACTGCATTGGCGACGATGACCACACAAGCCGACCGCGAGGCCAACTCGACCGTCCTGCTTATGTCACGCAGATGCACACAGGCAAACGCTTTCATCCGTGTTCATCCCCGTTGCGGACTCAATGTTGCGGGTGTAGCGAACTCGTGAATACGCTGGCAGGGCCTGTAAACGAATTGTTTTGCACTCAACCCGTAGATACAAGGACGATGGCGTCGCGGTGTGTTGACTCACAGGTCTGGACAGCAAAGAGGTCAAGTCACCATCCACGTAAATTCAAGATAATGCGCTACATGTATGACCTCTTTCCTCTTTTCCTGGTGCTCACCTAGTATTACCGCCGGAGTGCGCCTGCTGTGCGGACGGGCCGGGGCAGACGCTGGTGCATTTGTTATTTTTCAGGCTCAACCTGGTGAGGCCTCGCCCAGAACTCGCGTCGTGAGGGTTGTTGCTCCCTGCGCTCCCTCTGGAAGACCCTCCGAGTCGGGATTCTGCGTTCGCTGCCTTGGAGCGAGCTGTGGAGAACAGGCAAAGCGCAATCGTGACGCGCATCCAAAGTCCCTGGACGTGATCCAAGTGAATCCCAGTGGTGTAGGAGACGATGATAAACGGCACGGCATGCGTGACTAGCAGCATGTAGTAGACCATTTCAAGCTTTTGGTGGCGCCACACCTTGTTCGATCCCCGGGCCAACACAAGGAAGTGGAAGCGGAAATACGCCACGAAGGCAAACGACACGTTCTTGGTCGTGTCATCAAGCAGCTCGAAAGCATTTGTTTGAAGCTCCTGCCAAATGAGCTCGGCGATGTTGACCAGGGTGACCACGACTAATAACTCGATGATCCGTGCGAGCCTCGCTACGACGGAGAGCTTTACTTTCCTGTTGATGTCGCGAATGAGGATGATGATCTGCAGGAGGAACGTCAGCACTGTATATGCGTCGGAGGCATCGCTCAGATTGTCCAAGAACTCGTCACTGGGGCACGAGGTGGGCGAAGCTCAGGAATGCAGTGGCGAAAAGAAGACGCACGAGAGGCTCCCGATGCCGCTTGCGAAACACAAGACACCAGATACTGGAATAGCCCAAAGTTGAGCAGCAAGGAGCACGGCAAGCAGAACAGCCTCTGCACGAAGTCGGCGGTCTTCTGGGCTTCTTGGGTCTTGGTCATAGCCCTCGCACTTCCCGAGTTTGTGCTTGTTGCTGTGATGTCACGCTTGCTATGAACCTTTCTTATGTGTTGGTATTAGGCGCTTTTGCGTCGTGCATCGGAGGACTCGCATAAGATTCGACACGAATAGCACGAGAACAAATCGATCGACCGATACGAACTTCGGACGTGAAGTTGATCTCCGGCGAAGCGCGCTCACATCGAAGCTATTTATTCGCCGAGTGTTGAAATGAACAGTTTACACAGAGTAGGTAGCTCACTACAATGTATTACTCTTTTGGTTATCCTCTATTCCTATGCCTACTACTCTAGATCCGTGCTCGGTACCTGGAGGCAAAAGAGGAAGTGAGCTCGTCTTCGGACTGCGTCCTCGACTCCTCACTCCTCGGCCTCGTGTCGTCATCGCACTATGTATGGTTGGCAGGTAGCTCTCTGCCTGCACTATCCAGACCACAGCTGGCTATCTGAACTTCTCTCGTACTTGCTAAAACAATAATAACATGTTTGAGAGGTTTTGCTTTCAGTTGCAAAATAACTCGACTGGCAGACAGGCGAAGTCTGCTGCCACTCTGCGAGCTCGGCGCGCCTCTTCATTCAACACCGAGTTGTTGCAGACGACGACGGAAGTCATTCGGCGAGATGCTCACTCGTTTTCACGGCATGTACGTTTGATGAGAGTGCACACAACTAGTTAAATTTGAACGCGACGAGATGGATACTCTGTGTGTTTCCGTCTCTTGCCATTGACCCACGCGCGCAGTATCACTAATGTAACGGGGTTACACGGAGGTTACCCTTGTGGTTACCTTTTTGGTGTGCGATACACCAAGGGTTACTCCCTGGGCCACTGGCCAGTCATTGAGAATGAACTAGAGTTAGTTATGTCGATAGTAAGTGCAGGTATTTGCAGCGTAGGCGGCGGAGCCGCAGATAAGAGAATGAATACAGTTTGCCTTTTGCAAGAAGTCTCTGACTTGTTTTCGTGGTTCCTCGGATAGGACCCTGTTGGACTCTTTGAGTCATAAAGTCTTCCTCTACGCAAGGAGCTACGGCAGCCCCGCTGCACTTGGTAGCACTCGTAGTCAATCCCTCACCTGAGTCTGTTAGACTGTACCTCTGTGAGGATGGAGCAAGCTGCGTTCGCGAATTTGGCCCCCGGCCAGCAGGAGGTACTAAAAAAGCTTATGTCTCTGTTGGACCCGACGGGCGTGACGCACCTTGCCTCGCAAGGCCCGGACGCGATCAACGCGCGTCTTGAGGCGTTCTCAAGTTACGAGAATGCTCTGTTGGAGCACATTCAGCAGAGGATGAGCGCGACGGCGCCTGCAGCGGTGTCGGCCGCGTCGCAAGCCGGATCGACTCGACCCAAGCCACTCATGCTGAGTGTCAAGTTGTTCGAGGGTCTGGAGGGGGAGAATCTCCTGCTCTGGATCCGCGAGATCGAAATGGCCATGGGCTCTGCCCTGCTTCAATCGGAGCACCAGCGCGTCGCGCTTGCCATCTCTAAGCTCAGCGGAAGAGCTCGTGAGTGGGCGCTTACCAGCGGGTCGTCGGTAGACCAAGCTTTCCCGACATGGGATGAGCTGAAGCGACAGCTCTCACGAGTGTTATCGCCGCCGAACCACGCATACCGCGTGCGGTCCAAGTTCCTGGCTTGCCGTCAGGGGAAAAAGGACTTGGTGGACTACGTCCAGGAGCTACGCACGCTCATTGCCGGCATGTTCGCTGAACCGCTGCCTGAGTCTGTCACCGTCACGGTGTTTATGGATGGTCTCAGGACCGGAGTGGCTCGCACGGAAGTGTTCAGCAGTCGTCCTACCTCGTTCGAGGAAGCTGTGGCCGTGGCGTTGAACGCCGAGCACAATTTCAAGTCCGCTCGCGTCGGCTGGAGCGCGCCACAGGCGAGTACGTCGAACGGTCCTGAACCTATGGACCTCAGCTACGCTGAAAGTGACGAAGCCGAGCTTCGGGCTGCTGAGCAGCGCCGCGGTATCCGCCGTTGCTATACCTGCGGCAGCACCGAGCACTTGCGGCCGGGTTGCCCGCTGCGCAAGCAGCAATCTGCTCGTTTGAGCGGCCCCGCTTTGAGCCACAAGGCTGGTTCGTCGCGGGGAAACGGCGACTCCCAGTAGGCGCGGGGCGGTCTACTGGGGAAGAACTAGGTTCTGTAGTGCCTCAGGGAGGGGGAGGACAACGGAGTCTAGTCCCGAAGAGAGCCGTACTCTCAAACACGGAACGTAAATGCAAGCCGGGGTTGCTGGTCGTCATTACGACTGTGAAGGGCTTCGAGAAGCCGTGGGCGATCTTGATTGATTCGGGGGCGTCCGGCAATTACGCCAGGCGTTCCTCCATGGAGGGCAGCGAGTTATATGCTGTGGCGCTTCGCGCGCGTTCTCATGACATAGTCACTGTCCGTTTGGCGACGGGCACTCGTGTCACGGTGCCCAAGGTCCCCATGGACTTGGGCGTCAAGTTCCTTGACTTTGACAGCACGGAACGCTGTTTGGTCTTGGACCTGGATTCAAGGTATGACCTCATCCTTGGCATGGCGTGGCTGGAACGCCATGAGCCTTGGATCGACTGGAGGTCGAAAACATTAGGTGCTACGCACTTCTCTCCTGGTGGGGCTTTGGCGAGTCATGAACCCACCTCTGCCAGGACACAGAAGCGCTTTTGGCGCGAGCACTGGACCGAGTCGGTCGCTGTGCTGGACATCGGCGTGTCCGAGTTGGTCGACAACGCCGTTGTTGGAGAAGCACTTCCCGGAGGGGGCGCGACGTCGTATACGTCGGCCGGTACCGAGCACCGCCCGTCGGGCGTTTGTGGGGCGGCACGTATTCCGCTGGTTCAGGGGCGTTTAACGCCTGGCGACGGTATGTCGCGGCACTCAGAGCTCAGCTCCCCTCGTGCGCGTGGGATGGCACGTACTCCATCGACTTTGGGGCGTTCGACGCTCGGCGACAGTTTGTCGCGGCCCGTTGGGCATGGCCCTGCGGGGGACAAGGCGGAGCGTGTCTCGCCTGGTGCTTTCATGACCAAGGATTGCCGTTTTGGCGATTCCTCGCTGGCGTCCACGATGGACGGAGGCGCGTTGTCGCCTGGATGTGGTGGCGACGCTGCCGCCACGTCGCCCTCATCCTCTCGGCCTCGGGCGCGGATGAGGAGGAGGAAGAGACGCAGAGCGTCTGCGGCGTCGAGCGTGTCGAGCGATGAAGCTCCACGCGAGTGCTGCGAGCAGCTATACACGCTCGTAAATGGGCTGACGGGAGATGTCAATGGTGACATCAACCTTGAAGCTCTTCCCTCCGTGAGTGCTCTCCTTGAGCTTGAGGAGATATCCGTCGCCGAGTTTGGCGAGTCCTTAAAGGTGGGCGATCTAGCCGAAGTGGTCATGATACGACCAGAAGAAGAGTTAAACTCGTCGTCACTATTGGACGAAGCGGTCCTGGAGGACACTAAGCAGGCGCTTAATAAACGTAGTGGCTCAGCCATCTTGAAGGATCCGTCAGATCCGTTGTACCCGTTGGTAGTGGAGTTCGGAGACGTTGTCTCGAAGGACCCGCCTATGGGCCTACCTCCTGATCGAGGCGTTCGTCATGAAATTGACTTGGTTCCGGGAACCAAATATTGCGTCACACGCCAGTGGCCACTTCCCAAGGAACAGTGTGACGTCATTGACGCCTTCTTTCGTGCCAAGAACGAGGCAGGACTGGTGCGCGAAAGCAAGTCCCCGCACTCGACGCCGACATTCTGTGTCAGGAGGCCGAACGGCAAGTGGCGCATTGTGCATGCTTTCAACAAGCTTAACGCGGCCACTATCCCGGCACAAACGCCGATACCTCGCAATGATGTTCTTCAGAACAACATGGTTGGGTGCACGTTGTACAGCGCTCTCGACTTGGTCGATGGCTACTATCAGCTGCTCATGAGAGCGAGTGATATCCCTCTCACTGCGGTGAGTACTCCGGGCGGCATGCTCTGGGAGTGGTTGGTTATGCCCCAAGGGCTGTCAAACGCACCGGCAACGTTTAATCGTCTTGTGACGCAGTTGTTTCGGCCGCATCGCGCATATGCGCAGACGTACTTTGACGACATCTTCGTCCCCAGTCGTGCGGAGCACGGGAAGTCGGATATGGAGAACCACATCGACCATTTGAAAGCCGTGCTCGAGTGTATGCGAGCGAACAAGCTCTACGCCAATGCCGACAAGTGCATCTTCGGCGCTGAAGAAATTCCCTTTCTGGGATGCTTCATTGGGAAGCGTGGTCTCCGAGCGGACCCTGCCAAGGTCAAGGCCATTGTGGACTGGCCGGTTCCTGCGAACCCGAAAGACCTGCGCAAGTGGCTGGGTCTGGCAAACTATTCGCACAAGTACAGCGAGAATTATGCTGAGTTGGCACAGCCATTGTCTAACCTTCTCAAGAAGGATGCTGAATGGTGTTGGGATGCCGAGCAGCAAAGCGCTTTTGAAGCAGTCAAGGAAAACCTGCTTCAGGCACAGAGTTAGCCGATAGGCTTGCTGATGTCAGCCCTCGATGTGTTCGTAAGGAACTGGACGACTTCTTATCGATCCGTCTGAATGTCTTAAGGCATGTGCGAGACGCAATGGCTGATAGCCAAGACGTTCAAAAGGAACAAGCTGACGCTAGAGGCCGGGGTAATATGGAAAACTTTGAGGTCGGAGACCCGGTGTTATTAAACGCGAAAAACCTACCTACACATGCAGTTTCTGCGGTCTTCAAGACTAAGCTGCGTCCTCGCTTCATCGGACCGTTTAAGGTCGTGGCCAAGAAGGGCCTTGCGTACACGCTCAACCTTCCCAAGAAGATGCGCACACACCCAGTGTTTTACGTGGGCTTGCTCAAGCGTTACCGCGACCCGAGCCAGGTGAGCGCGGAGGCGCTGGCGCCGGCACCGTTGGAGGGGCAGCGCCCCGCTGCAGCTGCACCAGCACGTCAACCTGCCCGCGCAGGATCTGGACTTGGCCGTGCAGCGCCTGAACAAAGCGCTCCAACCGACCCATCCGGTCATCTGGTGGATCTTCAAGATCGTGGAGCCGGCGCTCAACAGCGCGGAGCGCGTCGTCGTTCTGCGCAAACTGCCTCCCGACCCAGTCGCGGTGGTCGCGCCCACGCCCGGCTTGATATTCCAGCTCGGACAACTGCGCTCGCACAGCCGCAGGGTTTAGCGGCGGCTCGCCGACCTCCTGCTCTGCTCGATGAGCACGGAGAGCTTCACTTCCATGTGGAGCGGCTTCTAAAGCGACGTTGTCACCGGGGTCATACCCAATATCTGGTGAAGTGGCGGGGCGAGCCACCGTCGTGGGAGTACGAGGTGCCCCTGAGGCAAGATTGCCCGGACGCCGTTGACGCTTTTGATCGGGACCACCCGAGACGCTCACCGAGCTCGAAGCCAACTCGTCGGTCGCCTCGCGTTTCCCGGCGCTAGAACGAGAGGATGACACATCCGAGCGAGTGCTCGAGCGCGAAGCGTGAGCTGGCGCCGCAGGCGTGGACGTAGACGCACGGCGCGGAGTATCTCGAAGCGCACGATTGGCGCCTTGGGCGCGTGGTCTTTGACCATGGCGATTTTGTTGGCGGGCCTTCTTCTTCGCCCACATGAAGCGGAGGCGCCGTTCAAGAAGAACATCTTGCTTTCTATAGCTTGCTCGAAGAGCATCAATTGACGGCAACTTACGGGAATTCTCAACCCAGGCCTGGAACTGGCCATCATCTTCATCTTCGGTCTCACCTGGAACGAGGACCATCGGGATGCGCTGCATCTGAGGCACCGACTGGTCGTGCAGTTGACCATCCAGCTGGGCGCAATTCTCCGAGAAAGTGGTCTGCTGCGGCGTCAGATAGCGCTGGCGCAGCGCGAGGCGCTCGTCTACATCTGCCGTTGTCGAGGCTCTCGGCCCTACGACGTATGAACCCAGCAGGCCTTTGGCCCAGTCGTTCGCGACCTTCAATGGATCTTCGCTGCTTGTAAAGCCATAGTCTCTCCGAGAGGGGTTCACGATAGGCAATGCCTCCGGTATGTTCGAGCGCGTTGGCGCGGTGCGCTCTTCGAGCTGACGGCGCTGAGCCTGGTCCAGTGGGTTGGAGATTGTGTCGGGATCCGTCGGATCATCCCCGTCCCTCGGAGGCAGAGGTGGCGCATGGCGCAGCGGGTCCGGGTGTAAGTGCGACCCCCGGGTCTCTGACCTTGGGCTGATGAACGAGTGCCGCGGGGGCGAGCGCGAACGCGCTGTTCTTGAAGGGCTGTGCCCACTCCGCGGCGATCTGCCATCGCCTTCCGACGGGTTGGCGTTGACCTCGCCCTCCTCAGACCCGAAGAGATCGTCGTACGCATTGCGCACACGCCTTGGCGCCTGCTCGCCAGCCGGGCTTGAGCTATGCTCCGACATCTTCGCTGGCGGCAGCTTCGGAGGGTGCGCTGCACGATACTTGGCTATGGAAGCCTCTGCGGGGTGCTGGGCACGGGCTCCTCCTTTGCGCTCGGCGTCTGTGACGACTCGGCGGCTGGCTCGACGGATGGGCTGTGCCCTGGCTGCGTGGCGCTCGTGCGCGGGCCTTGTGACTGCTGGTCTGTAGACCCGGGGGCTGCGTGCATGCGTTACACGCGCAGCCGATTCGACAATGAGGCTCTGTGAGCACAAGTCGAACTCGCGATGGGTCTGGACCCTAACTGGAAGATCGGAATGGTCCGGGCTTTTGAAGCTGGCGTGTTCGCCGTCTTGATGGGGGAGAGTGTAACGGGGTTACACGGAGGTTACCCTTGTGGTTACCCTTTTGGTGTGCGATACACCAAGGGTTACTCCCTGGGCCACTGGCCAGTCATTGAGAATGAACTAGAGTTAGTTATGTCGATAGTAAGTGCAGGTATTTGCAGCGTAGGCGGCGGAGCCGCAGATAAGAGAATGAATACAGTTTGCCTTTTGCAAGAAGTCTCTGACTTGTTTTCGTGGTTCCTCGGATATGACGATGTAATTCTTAGTACGAGCTCATTGGTTTGCTCGCCGACTGAAAACGCGAATGGTAGTGTGATCAATTTCTTGAAAATCGAGGCAGAGGGGTGCGTTGCAAAGTTTACTGAGCTGCAGGCTGATGCCTTCGCTGGTTTCGTACGTCAGCAGCTATCAAGCTACGAGCTCCCGGAAATCTTCAGTGAGCCATTACCAAGGCCTCATTGGTCAACGAAGTCTAGGATCTGGCATAATTTCTAAGGACGCGAAGATAATTTTATAGCCACCGTCCCATTTCTTGTTAGGGGTTGCCCACAATGTCGATATAGTTGGAGTTTACAGAGCTGAAAACGCGGCTACTTCTACTCTTCACCGCGACCCTGGGTTGGGTAAGCCTCGTGCATTTCGCTTCAGTTGACAGTGAACGCTTGCAGGCGATGAATGATGTGTCCGAAGGAAGCCTTGCGTTACTACTACTGGTGGAGACTACCCTTGTCGATAGGCCGACTGAAAATCCCACGATTCGACGCGCTGGACGCTTGCTGATGCGAGGTGGACGTCTTCTAGCGGATCTGCTCATTATCATCGAGCTCGCTTTGCTGCTGCTAGATGTGGCACTCATTTTCTGCGACCTCCCTCCTGATGATGAACATCGACTCGACTTGGTGAACGGCGCAATGGAAAATGTGACGCTCGCTTTCACCTTTATATATCGTTTCGGATTACTGTCGATGACTCGGAAGCGCGGATTGGAGCAATTACTACACGATGAATGGCTAGAGTTACTGTTCCACATCATCTTTGCTACTCATGAATACCCATTCATGGTGCTTGAGAATGTCACGGGCGCGCCATGGGAGTATGTGCAGGGGTTGTATATGCGTCTGACGCTTTCCCCCTGCATTTAGATGACAATCGGCAACCACCGCTATCATCCTCAGTTACCTTCTGTCGCTGCCCTCCGCCGTCTCAGTCAATTTCATGGCCGGGAATCGAGCGGAGTCGCGAATCCGTGGATTAATGATCGCGATCACCCTTGTGTCATTGATGCGCCAGCTAATTCGAATTCATAATACTGTAATGGATAGTTTGCTGCGCATGGCCAAACTTGTAAATTAATGTTCGTGACAGGTCAAAACAGTTTTAGAAGAGTTTAGCCTCGTCAGTTGCGAACCACCATATTGAAATACATGTACCTGTAGTGTCAAGACGCTGCATCGAACGCAAAATCGTGAGCCATTTCCAAATAAAGTGCATCAGCGCTCCCAAAGTTATTGTTGCGAACTGCAGCTTTGCGCAGCGTGGGAACTCACTAGCAGCAACACAAAAGTGAGGATCAGCAGACAGCAACGGCCACCTGCAAGGCAGAGGTGTATTTCTCGTACTTAATGTTTTGTGCCTTACAGTATAGCTGCACTCCTAAGCGTCCTGTGGTGGACAACCTCGTAAGGACAATTCCACCACGGTGGGAAAACCTCCGGCACTCTCACTGCCATCACGGGGCAAACAACCCACTCTGGCATACGCACGTACACCGCCAACCCCAGCGACAACTGTGGTCATCAGTACCAATTCTCAACAGTTATCTCGGAGCTCCATGTTTCGAACAGACCGTGCTGCGCTCCATGCCTTTCAGGAACTTCGCAATGTTCCAGGTGCCGAAAACTGTTAGGTGCTCCTTGATCTGATAAATTACCTGCAGAACCATTGATGATATATGGTCAGGAAGTCTAGCGCTATTGTGCTAATACAGACAACCCTCGCAGGCATTCGAAGCCCTGCGGACGAAACTGCACCGGAGCGAAACTTCATAGCTGCGGGTGTCACAAAAACTTGTTTGCGGCGATAAGTGGGCAACTGTTAATAACCTTGCGGAGGCTCGTCCTTCGTCTTGTTGATCCTGAGCGTGTAACTTTATTTTATGGTGTATCCGACACTACAAAAATTGCCACGCTATGTTTCGAGTCGCATTGGTACGATAATTCTTGGCACGGCAAAGTGACGGCGAGAGCTCCACATCTTTTCGCTACGGGTGTAACGTTGGTCTCACGTACAATGCTCGTATATGCGCTGCACGCTCTTCCTCACTCTCGGATGGCATTTTTTGACAGGTGCCTCATCGTCAACTGCACTCTATTGATCAAGATCTCTTCTCTGAGCAGCGCCCAAGGTCCATGACAAACTTCCGTGCTGAAGGTATTGCTGGTTGCCTTGTACAGCAAGTATTCAGTGCTCACTGCCAAACAGGAAAACGACGATTTCACGCAGCAAAATCACCCAAAATCCTGTGCATCAGGTATTCGTTATCAAGTGAGCTATCAAGAGTACATGAGCGAAGTCCTACCCACTCGCAGCTCGAGAGCGCAGTGCATCGACGAGTATCGCGTCTAACAACTTGCGGCTGGCGTCAAGTTGATGCGCGCGAGCAGCGGCCTTTTCGAGCAGCGCAGGCAAGAAGCTCTGTTTTACGTCCTTTGCTAATGGGTCGAAGAAGTGGCCACTCTCCACGAGCGTGTCGAACACTTGTGCGTGCAGACTAGCAAGGTATTGCTTGGCCGATGCACGGGCAGCCACCTTCTCCTCCAGCTCGGCTTGTGCTGCGAGACGCGCAGTCTCCTCGTCCAGGCGCCGCTGCTTCTCGGCGAAGCGGCGCTTGGCCTCGGCTTCAAGACGTTGCACCTCGGCCAGCTCTGCGTTACGAGCCTGCTCAAACAGCTCCTGGCGCTGGCGAATTTCGCGCAGCTCGATCTCCTCGAGCAGCTCCAGCATCCCAAGCTCCAGCGTCTTACCTACGAGCACCTCCAGAATCGGCTCGACCTCCAGGTCGAAGTCGAACAGATCTCCGCCCTCGATCTGCGTGGCAACGTCCACCCCCGACGGCGTCGGTACGAACGAAATAGGCGGATGAAGGTCCAGCAGAGCATCCGTCTGCGTATCCGCGTCCACCTCCGGGTTGCGGTCCGTCAGCTCTTCGAGATAATTGTCGGTCTGTACGTCCATGTGGAACCTACCGCCTACAGGAGGTGGCGTGGCCGGCCGTTGCTGTTGCTGTTGCTGCTGTTGTTGTTGCTGTTGTTGTTGCTGCTGCTGCTGCTGGTGTTGCTGATAACGAGCCGCCCTAGTGGCGCCCTTGCTAGGCTTCCTGGAGTCCCCGCCGCCGCCTCTTCCCGGACTCTCGGGCGTCTCCTACAGAACGTGCGTGAGACTAGAGACGCCAGCGCAGCAGCAACGACGACGCACGCACCTCTCGCATGACGTAGGCGCTGCCGCGGTGCACGCGCTTGTCAAACATGATGTTCTGCGCGCGCTCGGCATGGCCGTTGGCGTTCCTGCGGACAACGATAGCATATCGGGGTGAGTTCAAGTATTGCGCTGTGGCGGCGGGGGCAACTGCAGCGGGACGCACGAGGCCCCGGACGCCTTGCTGCGCTTGGTGGCCACGGAGCGCGGCGCCGACGCGAATTCATAGCCGCCGGACTGCATCGCGCCGAGCTGTCAATGGGCCCCCCAAGGGCGCTCGCCGCCGCCGCTTCAACGTCCTCGAAACCTTTCGCGCCGCTTCGAGCGCCTAGGGGCAGGGCCGGCCCTAATCTGCGCGCGCACGGTACGGCAGTGCCGAGATGGGCAGCGCGACCAGAAAAGGCGCGGCGAGACACTTGGCTTCATCATCTTGCAGTGCAACTTGCACTGCAAGCCCAGCATCGAGCTGCCGGCGTCGCTCTGCCAGCCAGCCGGCGCTCGCTCGTTTACGCCTTCAAGGGCAGGCAAGGATCGGTGCGACAGCTCGTGGTTCACAGGATGTGCCGGCCCGGTAGGCAGCGGACCGCGCGGCAGGCCGTGACCGACGCCGACTGCAAGCAGGGGCTCGAATTCGAGCGTCTTGGCCGCCGGCGCGTGAACACGAGCGGGGCGGCGCCAAGCAGAGCCGCGCCGGCGCTCGCGCTCGCGCTCGCACTCGGCGTGTTGCCGCCGTCTGCTCCGGCCCCCGGAGGGACGGACCACCCACCAGTTTCAGCCCGGCAGCCGCCGCTGCGATGGCCATGACAACCAAGCCCGTCCGGCAGGCACCATGCCGCTACGCTGCGCCACGATGCCGCCCGCCGCGGCCGCCAGCCAGTCATTCGCCGCCGCCGCATCATGGGTCCAGCCCCCCTCCGACACCTTCGCAGCGCTTTTGTGATCGGCGCGCCGATCGTGGGCGAGCCGCGTGAATAGGGCGGCCTGATATCCAGGCGGACATACAGACAACGACTTACAAAGCCGGCAGACACAAAAAGCCGGCAGACGAAATCAAGCAAAGCTTAACATGAGCAAACCAGCCAATCAGATTCAATCAAATGACTTCATCTTTGTATACCATCTGGTTTTGTGTACTTTATATGCTTTCTTGTGTACTTTATGCAACACACCGTGTGTTTTATGACAGTTTTACAGATTTGACGGGAGGGAATTTATCGTTGTTTTTATATAGGAGGATGGCATTAAGCATGCCGGCTTTGTAAGTCGTTGTCTGTAGCCTCGAGCCGAGCGGCGTCCGACGCTTGCCTTCGCTGCCGGGCGGCGCTGCTGGAGAGTGCACTGCGTGGAGGCCAGCGACCCAGCCAGAGGATACTCGCGCTGCAACGCGCTAGCAACGCCGCGCAAATATTGAGCGCCGCGCCGTAGCACGTCGACTTCCGACGACTTGAGGCAGAGGAGGAGCAAATCAGAGAGTGGCAGGCCGACCAATGGGAAAGCGCGGTTCGCATCAAGATTATGACAAGGTTTTTCGGCCGACCAGTAATATTTGCGTTGGCCAAATTCTGCCTACTACTACTGTAACAGCATTAGCACCAAATGGGAATGGACTACTATAGTATTACTGGTCGAAAATACTAACTGCCACAGATTATTATAAATGCCGACTCAAACGAGTCTGCCGCAAGCTTTCCTGCCTGGTGAACGTGAGCCACCTATATCACGTTCATTAATCCTGCCGCTATCACTTGCATGCAACATTCTCCACGCCACTCTCAAGACAGAAAAGGCAAAAATGCATCAACTCATATAATCTTAGCAGTTTATCTCACACTACGCCGTCTCCAAAAGCTAGTAGTAGTGGGGGCGGGGGGGAGGGGTCAACACTACCGTCATCAAGTTCATGCTGTCCCATGAAGTATCTTTTCTTGGGTTTCTTGTTGTTTTTAAGACGTAGCTGTTTAACCCGCCTCATAAAATTTCTAAGAGCCATGTGTAGGATATACCCGCATCATCCCTGTCCTAAGCAAAGTTTTATCCTAAGTGAATTTCTATATTGATCAACAATAAATCACCGCATTAATGGACTAACTATCGGCTACTGGAAATTACCGGGGAGGTTTACTCAAAAAGCAATATCGGTTCCTCGCGTTAGTGCGCCAGCAGGTAAATCAAGGAGGCTCGGGCGTGTAGCAAATGTTTACGGCAGATGGACGCGACCGAGTCTCCATCGATAAACATAAGTCTTGGAATTTAGAAACTAATTACTCGCACTACAGCTTGGAGAGCGCGCATAAGCATTCGCTTAGAACAGGGACGATGTACAGTATGCATGTAGATGTAAAAAAAATAGTAGCAAGAACCAATTTTCTTTCTTGGCATTAAAATCTGAAGCGACTGGAAACAGCCCCGCATTATTCTAATACGATGAATCCGACTATCATTAAAAACTTGTGTGCATCGATTAAGCTCCGACACGAAGACCGCTATGTTTCCAGGGCTATTTAAGGTTTTTATGCGAGCTTGATGCAGTTAGGCTTGTCTTACGCGGAAAATCGTGGAATGGCTGGAGCAAACGCGTCATTCCCACAATAACCTCAAAGTCTAAGCTACAGACTACTATTGAATGCTACCCAATTCCGTCGCGATAAACCAACGAGTAACGCGTACGTTTAGACAGAATCGCAGCAAAGCACAATAGTACTATCTTATTTTTTCTAGTATTTTGTTTCAGCTCTTACTATTACCTTAGAAATAGTACTATAAAATAGTAGTGTACACTACTATTCCTTAATGCCGGAGAAGCCTGGGTGCAACAGCCGCCACAGCTTGTTTTCCCTCGCGTACCTATCCGAGCGCCAGCGTTCCTGAGCTCGCCTTCTTTCCGCCCCCCGCAGCTGCCCCCCACCACGTACGTACGTGTCGTCCTGCTCGCAGCAGGCCTCGCGCTAACTCGTTGTCGTCCGCCGCAGCTCGAGATCCAAATGGCTTCGCAGCAGCAGCAGCCGCCGCAGTTCGAGTCCGCCGCCGCCGCGGACGCCGACGCAAGTAGCGCGGCCATGACGTCCGTCGCCTCCTCCGTCGCGACGTCCGCGGCCACGTCAGCGCCGCTTTCGAGCGGCCGCCCGCCGCTGCAGGACTCCTCGGCGCTCGAGATCGCCTACAGCACCATCTCCCCCAAGGTGGAGCAACCGCAGTACCCCATGCACATCAAGCTCAACCTGATCGACCAGAACCCGCTCGCCTCGAGCCTCTCGACCAACGGCGACTCGACGTCCTGCGAGAGCCCGTACCCCATGACCCCCATGACCCCGGGCGGCTACTCGTCCAGCGGCGGCGACCTGAGCAAGAAGCAGCGCCACAACCTGCGCGAGCAGCGCCGCATCCTGCGCATCAGCAACCAGTTCGACATCCTGCGCAACAAGCTCGAGGCGGCCGGCTACTCGTCCTCCAAGAAGGACAAGTACAGCGTGCTGCAGGCGACGCTCGAGTACATCTCCAACCTCGAGCGCAACCAGATCGGCGGCGTGGCCCCGCACCCGCAGATGCCGCACCACATGCAAGTGCCGCGGCACCTGCCCTCCCCATGCAGCGACGCCGGTGGGCGGCTGTCCATCACGGCGCCATCGCCCAGCCACGTGGACAGCAAGGGCCAAGTCTTCATGATCGACAGCATGCCGTCGCCCGTGCCGGCCTTGTCCATACCGGGGATGCAGCCTCAGACCTCGTATCCGCTGGACATGGACAACATGTACGGCAGCGCGGCCAATGGCTCCTCGAACGCTGGCGTGAGCGAGATCGAGGGGTCGGCGGCCTCCTATCGCGACGTGTTCGCCAACAGCAGCATGCCTAGTCTTCTAGCGAAGCTGGACGGCACCATCGTCGAGGCCAACGCGCTGTTCCTGGAGCTCTGCTGCAAAAACATCGACGAGCTTCGCCTTCACAGCCTCTACACCATGTGCACCGCCATGGACGCCCCCAAGATGTACACCCTCGTGAGCAAGATCCTCTCATGCGAGATGGCGTCCGCACAGAGCAAGATGATGTGGCACTTCTCGAGCACAGGCGACCGAAAGGTATGGAATGCGCTGCACAGCTTGAGCACCGGTTGTTCGCGCTGTGAGATCTCACCTTGTGTGTTAACGCTTTATGCAGGTGTTTGTATCAGTGTCAATGATCCACGATAGCCTCCACCGACCCGCCAATCTGCACTGCAGTCTGCTGCCGCTGTCATGAACCCCGCACGGGTGCCAGGCTAGGTCGACTTCCGCGGGTTTGGACGAGTTGCCCTGGTAACAGGAGACGCCCCATACTTCGCGCCGACTTGCAACAGGCTGCTGGCCACAAGGGTGGCAGTGGATTTTGATGGCTTGTGGCCATTTTGTAAATGCAGCCAGCCTTGTTGCCAGCGGCAGCAGGTGGGACCGAGCTAGTGAGGCGGAGACGAGCGCATTGCTCCTGTGCTCCCCCGCCTCTGCATGTTTAGGCTTTATCTTTTGCATGAGCTGTACCATACGAAGCCTCGCCGCGACGATTGTGGCGGTGGGGCTGTCAGGAGAGAGAGCAACGACAACCAGCATAAAAAGCATACATGGACGCTATTTATCATCACAACGGTCTTGCTCTTGCTTGTGCATCGGCGGCGAATCCCTTTGACCGAACCAGGCGCGCATCTTGCGACCGCAGTCCTCGCAGGCGTACCAGGGCTGGGCAGTAGAGCTCCCAGCAGCGTCGTCAGCCGCAATGGCTGGTGACTGCTTCGGCGTCTCGAACAGATTCGTGGTGGCTCTCCAGACCCCAGCGACCGCAAACGTGCCGGCGCAGGCGAGCAGCCAGCGGCGTTGTCCGAGGTCGTGCCGCGGCAGCTTGGAGCGCTGTAACACCGTAACCAGAGCAGTGTCAGTGGACGAATCGAGAACGCTGCGAGGCGTCAGCTCCACGAACCTCGTTGAGGAAATAGGCGCCCACGCCCAGCAGAGTCGCGGACCCTGTGAGGCGACAGCTACACACAGACAGGAGCAGCACATGAGTGAGAGGAAAGACACCAGGTGTATTAGCCGCGTGGGTGTGCGTGCGCCTTACCCGAGGCAGTCGTCCATCTCGGGCTCGTCCGAGACGCTCGCCATCACGCCGATCAATAGTTTTGATCGATTGTCGCAGTCGAAAATTTAGTTTAGATGAAATATCACAATACGCGAGATGGCTACATATTGGTTGAGGACTTCAACTCGAAGTGCGCTTTTGCTTCTTGTGGAGGCTCTCATTTGAGCAATCTAAAAACCTGTAGATACATGGTAGCGCACTCACGTACGTGAACACTCGATCACTTGATTACTGTGCGAGTCAAAACACAAGTGCGCATCGATTTCAGCCGGAGTGTTTTCTTCTTGTGATATATTTTTAGTGGTGGGCTTCGAGCTTGTCTGCCTTGCCAGTGCGGTAGCTGAAGTTGAGAGACGAGGACCCCACCTGCATTGACCATAGCGCAAAGACGCAATGTGGACGTCCATCACGCAGGAGCAGATCAACCAAGCGGCCCTCGAGGCCTTCTTGCCGGTAGTGCTGCTGCTCAACTACACGCTCCTGATGTACCTCGCGGTGTTCTACTGGAAGCGCCGACGAGAGCGACGCGTGATGCTACTGTTGTTTGTCGGAACGCTGGGCACTGTCGCTATCATTCCCTTCGCGCGACCGGATCACGACTTCGTGGAAGCCGTCAACGACATCTCGGAGGCTTGCTGCGTGTTGACCTTCTTACTGCAGATCACCATCATCGGCTACGACCTGAACAAACGCTTCAAAATTCGCTCCGTCATGTTTCTCACTTACGCGGCTGAGGTGCTGATCCTGGCCGACCTTGTATCGATCTTGCTCTCGTGCGTGGTGGTGTTCAATCGCAAGGTCATGTCGGAAGACAAGGGGCAAGAGATTTCAAACGTCGCGGAGAACCTGAACCTCGCATTCATCTTCATTTTCCGCTTCTACTACATCGGCATCTCGCGCGGATGGATGAGCATTTGGAAGACGCGCAAAGTCGAAGTGTGCTACTACCTGCTCTTCGCCACCCACGAAATGCCGTTTAATTTGATATCTGCCGCTAGTGGGCTCAATTGGGAGTTTGCTCAGGCGATCTGGCATCGCACCACTCTCACGGCGTGCCTACTTATTACGGCGCGAACCAAGATCAAACGGTTATCAGCCGCTAATGGTACGAACACAGCTACCCACGTCAGCTCGGCTAACAGCGGGAGGGAGAAGTGGAAAGCCGACACGAAGGGCTCGGGGGGGACAAGCTTGCGACGCATTTTCGACGGTAAGATCTCGCCTCGTTTAGACTTTCTCGTTCGAAAGTCAGGGAAATCAGGAGGGCGCCGAAGTTCGGGGCCGCACACGTGCACTGTGGCCCCTATGAAGCAGCTCAACGACTTGTAAGAATCTTCTCGATCACTATTGAAGCCACCCGACTTCCAACCTTATCCACGACTGCCTCGTGGTCTGGTTTTAATAGTCCGAAAATAAAATTATTTCGGTTCCCTCATTTTGTGCCTCTCACATTCGAACAAGGTCTTTAGTTCGCACGCTGTTCATCATGGTTGTCACTCAAGACGACATTAATCTGGTGAGCAAGGTATTATGCCTCCCGTGCGCGTTGCTGATCAACTTCGGACTCTTCCAGTTCCTGTTCATCGTCTTCCAGAAACGACATAAGGAGCCCAGTATCCGGATGCTCCTCGGGGTCGCGTTCATCAGCTTTGCTAGTCTTGTTCCTGGTGCCCATCCCAACCACGAGCTGGTCCGCGATCTCAACGACGTCTCCGATGTCTGCTCCGTCCTGAGCTTCCTCCTCCAGATCACCGTTCTCACGCGTGACGTTAACAAGAAATTCAAGATCCCGACCATGGTGAGGCTTGCTCGCAGTGCCCAGCTTCTGGTGATGCTAAGCTTCCTGGTGCTTCTCCTCAACTTTGTCGATATTGCCTCGTCTTCATTCGACCTGGAAACGATTGAGCTGCTGGACGTCGTTACGGAATATATCTCGCTGGTCTTCGTCGTCTGCTTCCGATTTTACTTTTTGGCCATGGCCCGAGGTCCTGCCAAGGTTTGGAAATCGCAAAAGCTCGAGGTGTTCTTCTACGTGTTGCTGGCGACTCATGCAGTGCCATTTACAATTCTCAGTCACGCTACGGGCTTGGACTGGCACCACGTTCAAGGACTTTGGATGCGCTGCACGATTGTCCTCTGCCTTTCATCCACGATACACGCGAGACTGTCCAGTGCGAGCTCCAAAGGAAGCCAAACTACGTCCCACAGCAAGGTGAGGAGGGACAACAGTCTGAAGCCTGGTCCTTCGAACGCGCAGTTGGGCCCAAGCACGAAATTGTCATCGATCCACCCAAGTCCACCATCGCTGTGGCTTTCGGCGCGGCGACAGTTGCGTCGGCTATAGTTTTCCTGCACCACTATACCAACACTTCTGTAGCTACTTTCGCTCAACAGCCTAAAAACTAAACTAACAACTTAACTCCCACCTGCGGCAACTACGTCTTATTGAATTCGAAGTAGAATACGCCAATCTATTTGCTAGAAAACTTACTTTGTCTGCTGCCGCTACAACGATGCAGTCGTGTTTCCTTTTATCCATTCCATCCACGACAACCTCGCACTCTGAGACCAGCAGCTACTTAGAATGAATATATATAGCCTTGAGCACAGCCGAGCGCAAATATATCGTCACTTTGAAACGAACCAAGCGAAGCAACCATGGCCACCCAGGCAGGGATTTACTTCGCAAGTCAAATTTTCTGTCTCCCATGCGAGCTCCTGCTCAACTTCGGTCTTTTCCAGTTCCTAATCTTCCTTTTTCACGAGCGACGCCAAGAAGCGACCGTGCGCGTATTGCTGGCCGTTGCTTTCGTCAGCTTTGCCTAGGAGCGCACCCAAATCACCAGCTCGCGCGCAACCTAAACGACATTTCCGACGTTTGTTCCGTGCTGACCTTCCTGCTGCAGATCGTCATTCTCACCAACGACGTCAACAAGAAGTTCAAGATCGCGGCGATTTCGAGGCTTTCTAAAGCGGCACAAGTTCTTGTGGCGCTGAGCTGCTTTGTGCTTGTGATAAATGTTATTGATGTGGCTGCCCCCGAGCTCGGCTTGGCGACTGCTGAGCTTGTGGACGTCATCATTCAGCACATTTCACTCGCTTTCGTGGTGGGCTTCCGGTTCTACTTTTTGGTCGCGGCTCGTGGCCTGGCCAAGGTCTGGCGTTCCCAGAAACTCGAGATCGGCTTTTATTTGCTACTTGCAACGCATGCGGTCCCATTCCACGCTCTCAATCTAGCTACGGGTCTGGACTGGCACCACGTGCAGGGACTCTGGATGCGCGTCACGATCGTACTTTGCCTTTCGTCCACGATCCGCGCGAAGCTTTCCAGCCGCAGCTCCAAACGGAGCCAAAGCGTCTTTCAGAGCAAAGGGAAGGACATTCTTCTGGCTGGCCCATCGAGCCCATCAGCAAACCTATTAAAGGCACCATCAAGGAGAACAGCGATGAGGATCACTCCATCGTGTCAGGGTGAAGACATTTAGGTCGACCGTAATACGAAAACCGAAGAGATTCGTAAATTGCTTTAGTTGTGTGTTTCTTTGCTGCATGTGTTTTGAGTAACTTGATATCCTTCCACTTCTGCTTCTTCAGATCCATGAAAGTTCGTTGTCATTGCCAAGCACCGAATCAAAAATAAGGTCGGACTTGCCCTAACTTTTGATGGGTGATATTTATGAGCTGTTACTTTAGCACTATTCGGCTGTTGCCCACCTACAGCCCCTGCTCACCTGTCATGAGTGCTGTTGCTTTCTGTTTAACCTGCTACTTTCTTCATGGATTTCTCCTGAGATGTGTGGATTACACTCCCCAGACCCCAGCAATAAATCTTACTCCGAGTTGTGGGGGCAGGCCCATTCGCAGGCACCTCGCAGACACCTCGCAGTCTGAGCTTGGAAAACTATATTTATACCCACGCTAAAATTGCTCGCAGCGCAAATGCAAGCCACGAGGACGGGACGCACACCGCTTCCAGTCTATCATTCTCAAACGAACGTGGCCTGTTTTCAAACGAACTTGGCCTGTCAAGTCATGGCGGTCGCGCAGGAAAACATCCAGCTCGTGAGTCACGTCTTCTGCCTCCCATGCTCGCTACTGGTCAACTTCGGACTTCCAGTATCTACTTTTCGTGTTCTACAAGAGACGTCAGGAGCGGCTTGTGCAGTTGTTGCTCGGGGTCGCGCTCATCAGCTTTGCGAGTCTTGTGCCCGGCGCTCACCCGAACCATGAACTTGTGAGCGATCTCTTCGACATTTCCGACGTCTGCTCCGTGCTGAGCTTCCTGCTGCAGATTACCGTCATCACTGGAGACGTGAACAAGATATTCAAGATCCCAGCAATAGCAAGACTCTCGCGCGTGACTCAGTTATTCGTGGTGGTGAACTTCGCTGTGCTCTTCACGAACGTGCTAGATATTGTCGTACCTGACTTGAACGTCGACGCCATCGAGTTGGTGGATGTCGTCACTGAGTACATATCCCTGGCGTTCGTAATGGGATTTCGCTTCTACTTTCTAGCCATGGCCCGAGGCCCCGCTAAAGTGTGGCAGAACCAAAAGCTGGAGGTGTTTTTCTATCTGTTGCTTGCGACCCACGCGGTTCCGTTCGCAATTCTCAGCAAGGCCACGGGTCTCGACTGGCACCTCGTCCAAGGACTTTGAATGCGCTGCACGATTGCTCTTTGTCTTTCGTCCACAATCCATGCAAGGCTTTCCAGTAGGAGCTCGAGCGTGAGCCATAAAATGTCGCAAACCAAAGTAAGGGACCGAAACGTTGGCGATGGTCCGTCGGCCAGAAATCTGATCACGTCCGGGACGAGTAGCGGGTTGTCATCCATTCATCCAGTTCCGTCGTCAAGGTGGAGCTCCGTTCGTCGGCAGTTAACCAAAGCCAAGTCACGACTCTTATTGGATTAAACCGCGCAGCTCCAGCTTCAGCGAAAGCAAATATCGACGACTTTGGTGAGGTTTTCCTGGCACAATTAGCAGCCCTCTCCTCGCACATCCAAGAGCTGAAGGAATTTCAGTTTTCAGCGGCTTTTTATCTGGTAGGCATCGCAGTTAGCGCTACACAGCTTCAGCTTGGGCGGATATAGCTCGAGTGATCTCGTTAAGAGTGCCTCGTCCTACGGGTAGATACATATGTGCAGGACGACATCGTAAATATCATTAAGCTAATTTATTGAGAACTCTCGACTCCCAGAACTGTTCATCACTGAACTAGGAAACTTGTCACCAATACTTTGATTCCTGTGAGCGGAACTGGTACAGTACCAAGGTTTTGCATTTGAGAACAAAAGTATCGCCTCCTAATGGGCTACAACTGCACTGAACTACATATTTAGCACTGCATTCCACCGCCTTCGAGGTGCAATCACTTCAAGGTCTTCACAGTAGTTCAGTGTTGCAATTCGCAGCACGCTCGAGCGAGCCGCATCGTGTAACGAGCCGGGCTCGTTGGCTCGGTGAGCCCTCGTGCTGCCCCGTTTTCGCTAGCAAGGGCGGACCGACGACTCGGTGCCTGTCACAGGCATTGGAGTGGGGATCTGCTGGCTGCGCGTGCGCGGAGCAGCAGCAGGACTCGCACTAGCGGCACCCTATACAGTTGTGTTCGCAGGCGAGCTCGTGATGAAATGCTAGGTTCGCACGCGGCCAAAGCATTCGAAGACGGTGGCTGTATATAGGACTAAAGCCGCTGTTGAAGAGAGTGTAGTAGAATCCTGGTTCTCCAGGTCAGCATGCCCGTTGACCATTGCGGCAGCCTGGCAGCAGGTGGCCAGGCTCTGACTCAGAGCCTCAGACACGTCCAACCCACTTGATTCATCCATGCAAGTACGCAGCAGACCAGCGAGGGATACTGTCCATCTGCGGACAAGACGTTACCGGTATTGCCATCGGGGCTTCGGTTTTAGGCTTTCACACATTAATCACACATGAAACTTCAACGTGTGCATGCAGTCGGCAGCAGGACGGGATCCACAAACGCTGCTGGACCCATGTCGTCCCCTGAGTAACGATTGCCACCTACACTGTAATGTGGTCTCTGGGCTCCGAGCCACAGCCCTCTCGTTAGGCAACGACGCGATGTGGTCTTGCAAAGAGCACAGCCCGCTGTGTCCTACATCGCTGTGCGCTGTCGCCACCCCAGCTCGCCCGATTGCCTCACGGTGCGACTCGAGTCGATCTCTGCGAAGCCATCCTCGCGCTGTCGTACTGTCCTCCTTCGCCCTGAAAGCCGGCGCTGGGCAAAGCCTCCGTGCGCCTCTCGGGGCGTGTTTAACGCGATGGCTAAAAGGGGCTGCGCAGTTCAAGTTGTGGAGTCAGCATGGGAGTGCCCGGCTTGCGCATGTGGGGGCTGGAGACCGAGAACGCTTTGGACGGAGGCGATTGTTGAAGTGCGTCGGATTTAGCAGCGCAAAGAACTCCTGCCCAACGGCCGGAAACGGCACGGCGCCTTTATTTAGCGCCGCAGAACGCGTGCCGACGCCGCCCGGAGCGCGCGAGCGCCCGACAGCCCCATCGCCGCCGGACTGCAGCCCGGAAGCGGTCAAGCTCGCGCGGCTAGCGTGGCGTATTATCGGTTTCGCGCTCAAAGTCAAAAAGTCGAATCCTGAAGCAGGAGCGGGCTCAAAAAATAGAACCTGGACCCGTCCCACCTCGAGCTAGTCGCGCCATGCATGACACGAGCCAGCATGCTGCCGCCGCCACCTGCAGCGAGTTCTTCTCGCGCCGCACGCTCGCCGACGCGTGTGCCGCGTGGATTCGTAAGGGTGTGTGGCGCCGCAAACTCGCCGCCATCCTGCGACCTTAGTCCTCCATGCGGGCAGCTTGTCTCCGCGTTGCGAGCGTTAGGCCGGTCCGGTACTGGCGTGCGTGGCAGCGCAGTGCCGGGCCAGTGACGCACGTGGACCGGATCTCCAGCAAGTCGCCCCCCTTGTCGCGTGCCAGCCAATGCTGCTGGTGCAACAAGGGTTAAACGCCAGACGATCGGTCGCGATGTCGCCGGCCGATCGATCGAGTCTCCGCCTGGTCATTTCGGAATTCGCCGCCACTTGCTCACACCCCGCTCCACCTTATTCCACCATGCTGCCACCCAACTCCCCCACCAACTCCGCCGTCGCCCTGAGCGAGGTGCGCTGCTCGGTTGTGGACACCCGCAAGGTGGCGGGCCACACGGACTACGCCATCCGTGTGCAGACCGACCGCTTCGGCGGCGAGGACCTCGTGTACCGCCGCTTCTCGGCCTTCCTGCAGCTGCAGCAACTGGCGCGCCGCCACTTCCAGGAGCACGCCGTGTGCTGCGGCGGTGACAAGAGCTGCCTGCTCGCGTCCTGCCTCGAGCGCGTGTTCGTGGACACCGAGTTCCCCGTCATGCAGGGCCGCTTCCTCGGCAAGAACTCCAATCGCGTTGTGCGCGAGCGCGTGCTCTTTCTCAATGCGTTCCTGCTCGAGCTGGAGGAGGCGCTCTGCAAGTGCCCGCCCGTGGTCATGAAGCGCTGCGAGAACCAGGGCTGCAAGATCACCAAGCTGCTCAAGAGCTTCTACGGCTGCCTCGACGTCTCGAGCAACGACGACGTCATGTAAACGGGCTCCATCGCTGTTGCCCGTGCATCTGTCACCCTACCGACGTCCATCCAACACTTATCTGTGTGCGTGTTACCGACGCAAGTCCAAGCGACGACTAAACTGCGCCCCTACTGAGATTGGTCAGCTTTTCGATCCTTGATGCCCTCGCAGCAGATCCTCCGATAGAAGGAGGAGCTCCGACAAAGCTGCGAGGTGTTGGGTGAGCTAGCCACATTCCTTACTTATTAGGTCGATCAACTCGAGAGCGAGTGTAGATTATCAGCCAGCACATGCACCTCAAGCATGTAGATATTTAACAATTCATCAGCACTATATTTTCATTCACTAACAACAACTTCTCGTTCAATCCGTCTCAGTCCTGCATTTAGCATTAAGGGCTCGATCAAACCGTCGCGCCAAGGATTTTGTCGTGAAAAAGCGTTTGGAGAACGCTGCGAGATGGAGCTGGTGACGAAGGTTCGCGACGCAGAGCATTGGGCACAAGTGCTGGAGAGCAGCGAGAAGAAGCTCGTCGGTACGGCTGTCCTATTCGTAAAGGCCGGAGAGTTCGGCTACTAAGGTCGTCCTGCCAGTTGTCGATGTGCACAAGGATTGGTGTGGCCCATGCAAGATCGTGGAGCCGACATACAAGCGCTTGGCGACAGACATCGACCACGCGGAGCGCCGGCTCATGTTCACTACAGTAGGACATCTCTTTTTGCCACTATATGTTGTGCTGTGGCACTCACTCGCCGTCTCTCACCTATCATAGCTGAACGTCGGTCTCCACATTGACGGCATCGAGGACACGGGGAGCTGCAAGCCGCGATTCCTGTTTTTCAAGGTTTGCTCGTGGTCACGTCGAATGCCAGGTAGCCATACCTCCAGGTGACTAACGTATGAGTTGGCTTTTGGTCTTGCAGGATCGCAAGCACATTGCAGATGTGGAAGGTGCAAATGCACCGCAACTGGAGCTGCTAGTCAAGCAGCACCTACCACCGCTCGGAAATGACGACGAAGAGGCCTGAGTCTACAGTATGAAGTCGTCGGTAATGCCAACACGAATCTGCACTCGTTTTCCTATTGTATTCATGATTTGTGATGCAGTGTAAACTAGAGCAGTAGTAGATCGGAAAGGCTGTTTCTTGGTGTTTGGGAAGAATATCGCGCGGCTGAAGCAAAACGTGGCTGCGAACGCACGGGTTAGACCAGAGCCGTTACCTGAAATTGTCCAAAGAACTAGGCACCAGTGGACCGATTGCCGGCGGCAATTTGCCGAAGCAAACTATGTTGAAGGATCACTAGAGGATGGCGGAAAGACAAATCCAGCATCTTCTTGGCGACCGATTCGGCACCGCTTGCACGCATCCCTGCATACATGTTAGTCGCCGACGAGTTTACTACTTGATAGGATTGCTGCCAAACCTGTACGAGAAGTTCTGTAACTCAAAGAAAACGTAGGTTAGCGCTGCTTAAAAAACTCAAAAACAAATTATCAAAATAAATAAATACGTGGTTGCCTAAAGCGGAAGATGCGGTGTTAGTAAAGTCAGGCAAAACACAGGTTGGTAACGATGCAGTATACCACAATTGGTGCATTTCCAGTCTCCCTAGACAACAGCAACATCTTGTCAAGTTATATCCATTGGAATTTTTCGCAAAAGTAACTCTGAAACCAGGTTACCGGCCACCAATCCATGTGTGGAGCAACTTTCTTGGACGAGAGTGACACCTTCAGCTATCAATTACACCACGGAGTATTAGTATCTTCGCATACCCGGCGTCGTCGTCGTTGTTGTTGTTGAACAAGATGAATCATTACCATTTGTATGAGCTCGCTTGTGTCGGAGGTTTGGCGAGGATAAAACGTTGGTGTCTGAGCTGACAGAGCAAAATTCTGGGTGTGGGCCAGCATGTCTGATGGTTTGCTTCTCAAAGACGGAGACAGCCCAACGGCAGGTTGCGCTTCCTTCTCTTCATGCGTCTCGAGGCCCCTAAGACCGCAACAAACGTACGTTAGTGTCAGCTTAAAATCTGGCAAGCTATGTGAACGACGACTGACTGTTGGTGTGGTCCGGATGGGATGAAAAACGGTAGGCCGTAGTACTTCTTGAACGTTCGTCTCGGTTGTTCCACGTCCTCCCCGGTCTTCATGAACTCAACGAGATTCTCACCGAATCCAGGCAGGTTTCGCTTGCTCGCTTCAGCGTAAGATATCTTCTTGGCAGGCTCAGCGGCTTGTGCTTTCCAGTTAAACATCTCCTCCTCCAGCGCAGACAGCTCCTCCGGCGTCACGCTCCAAATTGTGCGGCCAAACTGTAAAGGGCCCTCCTCGAGACTTCTTGGGAAAAGCTGCGACAGCGCTCCTTTGTCCGCATCCCCGCGCTCCGTAGTATAATTCCCCACGGCTTGGTCAGCGCCAGCATCCACCGATTGGTTCATCTGTATCTTTATCATCCGCGAGGTGGTGGGGACCAAATGCTTCTGCTGCTGTTTGGGCGAAGGCTCCACGACAGCTGAAGACGGCGGCTTGATGCTCGCCTTGTCGCTCGACGCAGTAGTAGTGTCTGCACCAGTCCCGTTCGCGATCTCCACCCCAAAGTCCCTAGACCAGGTCTGACTCCGAGGTGCAGCGGGCTTAGGTGCCGGCGGCGGTGCCAACGCCTTTCTCAGCCGCGAGTTGTCGTCTGCGTCCGGCGGGGAGAGCGGCGGTAGTGGCGGAAATACGCGCGACGACAACGGTGGAGGGCGGGGCCCCGATGTCGGTCGTGCGAAGCTCTGCACGTTCTCCTTGTCGGACGCCATGGCGGTGGTCGTGGCGATCTCCTTGCTGCTGCAGGGCTGGAGGAAAGTGCTGCTCGTGTTTGCGGAGTGAATGTCAAGCTTCAACGTATCTTCGCTAAGTACGACTGCATAGAAACGTCACAATGGTACAGTGTACCATAGCGAATGGCGCCGATATTGGCCACACACAACTCCCTTTTGTCAATGCGTCCGCTGCGCCAAGTTGGCGCGCGCGTGCGGCTGCTACGTGCGCCCCGGGCGACGCCCCGCCTCGCTGCGCCGCTGTTCACCACTACAGACGCCCCCTCCACCCACTTGACCCCGAAAATCTCCACGAATGTGCGGTTCCTGCACGCAGAGCAACTGGAGGCGGAGATGTCGGAGCCAGCGCCGGTAGCGCCACCTTCACCTGCGTCTGCTTCCCTGGAGACGCCCGCGACGGAACAGGCCAAAGTAGACACGAATACCAACGATGTTCTCTTCAAACGCATCAGGGACCCAGCCTCGTCGTACCACGCAGCGCTACAGGCGTTCAATCGTCTACGGTCTCGTGGTCTGAAGCTCGACGAGGGGATGTATCTATCGCTGCTGTACAAGGCGTCACGAGAGGGGCGCTACGAGCGCGTGTGGGACGGATACAAGGAGTTCCTGGAGGACGAGAAACGAGGAGAGGTGTTATTGCCTCCCAGAGCTGCCACCACGTGGCTAAGACTGACTCAAGCCAGGATGCAGATGCACCGCTTCGTGCTCTGGGCGATGCTGGATACGCAGCGGGAGCAGGCGATGAATCCGTTTTACCAGACCGAAGTCGTCGGCAAGCACAATTTGCTGGGCATCCACGAGTCGGACCCGTTCAATTTCCTGCTGCGGATGGAGTGCACGGCCAAGGCGATGGGCGAGCAGGAACAGGGACTGCGACAGCGCGTGGAGACGCTGCTCAACTCCATAGACCACCTCGGACTACACTCAAGCTACTCGTCCACGCACTCGCTCTTCAGACTTATTTTTCATCGTCCGGAGATTTTCTTGGAGGGCGAGGAAGACGTGGCTGTCGACAAAGATTCTGGATACGCGGCCGAAGCAATGGGGAGATTGATTATTGAGTACATGGAGCGATTTCCCACTGCTCTGGGGCTGGATCCGAAGCGACTTTCGATCGCTGTGAGCGCTGCTGCAGCTGCAAACCAGCATCATGCAGCAAAGCTGCTGCTCGAGTACGGGGCCAAACATCACGTACCGATTGACGCGGGTTCGTTTGCTCACACTGTCGAGTGTGCTCCTGACGACGATAGCCGCTTGAAGGTCGCGGATTTGTACATGAATGCCAAGGAGAACGAGCTCGTATACACCACGCAGGACACGGAGAGCAGCATCATCAATTACCTTTTGCTTCACGCCGTGTGGGATGGTAACTTTAAGCATATGATGGAGCTCCTACACGAAATGCAGCTGTACAACAACAAGATGAGCAACAGGACGGTGCGTGAACTCTTCAAAAGCATCGCGCAATACCGGGCCGAAAGCCGGCAATCTGCGTCCGAGCACAGCGGAAACTATGCTGGCAAGAAACTGGCCGAGTGCCCAACAATTATGGAGCTGCTCGAAAGGTTTCCGGACGCCATTCCACGCACGGTGCACTCGTTCTCTCAGGGAATTCTCCAGAGCTTGTACGCTGGAGACCTGGACGTAGCGCTCGATCTCATGCGCGCAGCTCTGTGGGCCAAGGGTGTCAAGTTGCGACCAGAGATTTACTCGCAGCTTCTTTATCCTCTGCTCGCAGGAGGAAAGCGAGGAGGAGACGAATCGAGCGGCGCCAGCGTGTTTGACCGCTTGGAGGTGGAGCGGTGCTTTGACAAGCAGTACCCGAGGCAGCGAACGTATCTGAACTCCCTGATCGTGAATATTTGCCAGACCAACGACGACCTGTCCACGATGCTCGTGTGTTTGGATCGCTGGCAGGGGCAAGGGCACCCGCCAATGAGCCGGCGAGTGATGAAGCGCGTGTTCGAGGTGATCTCGAAGCAGATTCAGCAGCTCCAGCAGGAGAGTGACGAGGTCACGCCCGGCACGGCTTTCATCGTGGACGGGATGCAGCTTTCGTACTTGGCGTTCCTGCTGCGGTATCGCAAGATCGTGACGTGGGACGCCTGGACAATAGAGCGCGCCATTGTCCGCGCCCGCACTAGCGGTCTGCAGGCGGATGTGGTGGCGTTGCTGGCGGAGGCCGACTCGCGAAATCTCGTGCTGAACAGCGCTGCCTACGTCGTGTCGCTTTGCGTGCTGGAAGAGGTCGGCGAGCCGTCTGCCGTTGTGGCTTACGCGGAGAGGATGAAGGCGAGCGGCGCGTGGGAGAAGGCCGTGAGCAAGGACCCGGAGGTGCTGGAGGTCTTGAACCGCGCGTCGGCCAGACTACAGGAGGAGGAAGACGCGTCCACAACAGACTGCGAGCAGTAGATAGCTCCGACCAATAGACCAGTCCGGCCCGCGGCTGGGCCAGCAAGCAATCAGAGCCCCCATGTGGTTGTCCTTCGGCGCTTATCTCTTTCGTCAAAAAATTACTGCGATCCCTCCACTTCAAGTAGCTCAGCTCATCCCACGCCCGAGCGTCTCCGCTATCAGGCGTCAGTCGCCGTTTGGACCCGTGGAGCAGACATCGAGCACTTCTCGCTCGCAGTGGACGCGATGGCCGAGCTGAACTACGCTCTCATGCGCCAAGCCGTGCAGATGGAAGAGGCCAAGCGCGCGCGGCAGCGGGAGCACGTCAAGAACAACTACCACCGGAAGCAGGTAGGCGGAGTGAGGGTATCCATCTCCTCGTCTCGGTATCTGCTTGCTGTTAACGCGGCGCGTGCTCTTGGGTTTGCCAGAACGTGATTAAGGCGCTCCGCCAGGAGATGCAGGGGCTGGAGCATGAGTACTCGCGCACGCTCCAGCACAAGCAGCAGCTGCTGCAGTGGCGCGAGGTCGCGGAGGCTCTGGGCTGTGACGAGAGCCGCAAGCACTCGGACGACCTCGTGGAGCAGTACATGCAGCTGTCCATCAAGAAGGAGCGACTGCACCAAGAGAACCAAGAGCTGGCGCTCATGGCGGCGCAGCACACCAAGCTGCACCTCAGGGCGGAGAACGTGCTGGCCTCGGACGGCCTCCCGCTGCTCAAACCGCCCGCGACGTCGGTAGGTACATGCATGCCTGCTTCTGGCGGCCAGGGTGGTCCTGCCTGAGGCCCGTGGGATACCGATGAGGATGGGGTCACTCACTCGATCGATGTTTGACCCCCTACGTAGTTAAACAGCATGGCCTTCCAGCCGATGACGGTTGCCGAGTGCCACCAAGTTGCCATCGAAGCGTACCAAGAGATCCGCGCGTTCCTGGAGAGCAACAACTACCTGACCAGCGGCCACGAGCTGTTTGGGTGGTCGGAGCAGCGACGCGAGGCACCGGACCACGTCAAGTTCACACTCAAGAAGCAGTTCATGGGCACTACCCCGGCCGAAATGTCGGCTCGCGCTTGGCGAGTGGTGTCGTCACCGCAAGGCCTCGCAGGCCTCTATTCGTCAGCGATGCGTGTGTCGCTCAAGACGCTCCAGCAGGTTGACGACCACAACGTGATCATGTACCGCGTGCTCCGGCCCGCTCGCACCAAGAAGATGGTTCGATCTCTGTTCCTAGTCTCTCACTTCCGCTTGGATAGCGGCGGCTACATGATCCTGTTCCGGTCTGTCAATCGCAACCGGCTGCGTTCCCGGTGCTTTGACGACATGCTCGAGAGTGCGTGGGATGAGGGCAAGCAAGACGAAGACGAGTGGCTGGACATGTTCACGTGGTGCGTGGTTTTGCCTGCAAGATGGGTGCTAGCGTTGGAGAGTCTGACTGAATTGTATTCTGTATAACTTTCATTTTCGTTGCAGGACGATTTTCCAGGATGTGCCTGAAAATGAGAATGCGGTCATGTTCAGCTACGGTGGAGTCGTGTACAGCACGGAAGCGGTCGGGGCCCACGTGTGGATGCTGGAGATTTTGATGCTTGCCATCCAGTGGGAGACCAAGGTCGTGGGCCCCACGTTCAAGCTGTGCGACTGACGCGACCATGGAGGAAAGGAAATACAACTGCGCAAGTGTCGTTGAATTGATTAATGAAGATTTGAAGAAAGACGTGCAGTCTAGCATGGTACAGTAGTGTGGAGGTGTAGTGCAGTGTTGCCTTAGTGCCTCGCAGCGAGCCGCTCGAATCCACCGAGCACCGCGTCCACGTCCTCGTGCTCGGCGCATAGCTCCTCGATCTCTGCCGGCGTGAACGCTTGCGGCGACAACTCGAATGCGTCACCCAGTCGACGAACCTGAGACTCGTCCAGCTTGGCGACGCAGTAGTACTCGATCATTTGCTGGATCTGCGCGCAGCCCATGTAGCCCAGCAGCAGCTTCTTGTTCACACGACCAGGACGCACAAGCGCCGGGTCGAGCTTCTCCGGGTGGTTGGTCGTCATGATGACGATGCGACCGGGGCAGTCGATGACGCCGTCCAGCACGTTGAGCAGCCCCGACAGGTTGAGTTTGTCGTTGCGCATGTTGTACTTCTTCTCGTCCTCGAGGCAGGCCTTGATCATCGAGGACACGAGCTTGTCGTCTTCGGACTGCTGCTGAGGCTTGTCGCCGGTGCCAGCGCTCTTGCTCTCCGCGGCGTCGCTCGCACGCGCCTTCACGATAGAAGACGCGCAGTCGATGTCCTCCATGACGAACACGACGTCCTCGAAGTCCATCTCGACCGGCGAGTCCAGACCCTGTACGGCGAACTTCATGTCGAAGAGCGCGTCGAGCAGCTGCTGGTTGGTCTTGATCTTGCCGAGCGAGATCGTGACGACGTGGCGCTTGGTGTACTGCGCGATGGCCTTG